GGAGGGGAGGGGAGGGGAGGAAAAAAAGAAAATACAAAGAAGGCTGCGCTCAGCCCTAGCCTGTGAGGAGGAACCTGCTTTCTGATGTCCTGTGGCTGGTGTAGTCCTGGGGCTTATCTCGGGGAGAATGGGGGCTCTTGTGTGATGTTATTTGTGTTCTGGTTTTCTTTTTCTCCTTCCTGAGGTGAACTCCCGGCTTGCTGTCTTTTTTTTTTTCCCCCCATCAGTTTTCCCAGGGCTGCTGTTATTTTACTTTCTGAATTTCTTCCAGTAGTTGGTCGGTTTGTATTTGTTGACAGGAAACGCTTCCCATAAATCTTGATTGTTCGCTTGGCTGGCATAGACCCTACAATACATACTTGGTCCCTGCTTGTATTGTTAACCTAATAATGTAGTTCTAAAATGAGGTAAGAAGGAATAACGTGTTGAAACTGGAATGCATTGATATTAATGACTTGCAAAAAAACCCAAAAAACCTTCAGTTTTCAGGTATGGTGTACAAATAGAGACCTAATTTTACCATACAGAAACAGGGAAAACTGCAAGCTACAAGGAAAAACATCTGGACACGACACTTCTATATATACACTTTTGAATGTAATTAGCAGCACAGTATTAGGAACCACAAGTCAGTTTGGCTTGTGCTACAGAAGCCTGTAGTATCTCCTCATATTTACATTTTGAAACTTTGTGTGAAATCAATAATGGCGATTGTGAAGGGCAACAATAATAAAATTATAATAATTTAAATATTGGGTGGGGTTTTTTTTGCTATGTATGCAGATATTTATTTAATATAAAGTTTTCATGTTGGTGGATTCTGTCATTGTCAGGGGATGCAGAAGGATAGGAATTTTTATCCCACTCCAGGTTCCCTTTCAAATTTCCAGAAGTTGTATTTTCTTTTTTTCCTCCCCCTCCACTTTTTTTTTTTTTTTTTTTTTTTTTTAATTTTTATTCAGGCTGTCTTAGCTCTGCTGCTGAGCCTTTTGGCCATGATGAAAATTATTTGTTCTGGCTTTTTTTGTTTGTCTCCCTGATGGTTTGGTTTTTGGTCTGAGAAAAAAGTACATTGCATCTTAAGATTGCTTAGTGTCTTTATTAGCCTTCTGTGGGGGACTTCGCTGGAGGCATTTCAGAAGTCTTAATAAGTTATGTGTACTAGTTGTCTTCTATGTTATGGAGACTTTCCAAGACTCTTAAGAAGATAATGATTTTCCTTTGCAAAAACTGCTTGTTAGACCTTATCAGATCATGGCAATCCAGATTTTCTGGTGTTCTGTTTTTAATTATTGATGCAACAAATTTGCCAGGAAGACTTAGTAGACATATTACTACCTTTCAGTTCTCTAGAATCCTTCCAGTGTTCAGTGAGACATTCTGGTTTCTTTTCTTAGCCACTCTGCTATGGCATACTTGTACTTTGGAGGTACTAGTTGAATATTTCACTCCTAAATTATTCTGGTTTTCAACCTAATCTTATCTGATGCTGCATTTTTGTTTTGAAAATGAACAAAAGGTGGGGTTAGGAATTTCTGCATCATTAAGAAGGCAGAGATATTTATTTCTTCCTTAGATCTTTGTCTCTTTTGATGTCTCTTTTTAACCTCTAAGTATGTGGTGGTCTTAGTGATCCATTTAAGTAGCTTTTTTAAAGGCTTCCTGCATCTTGTACATCTAGGAAATTACTGTTTGTGGTGGTTTTACCTTAAAAAAAATTCCCTTTGAGTGCCATTTCGGCCCTTCCTGCTTTTCCTTCTTAATTGCTGTTGTTGTCCATGTATCTCTTTATAGATTTAGCTAGCATTAAATTTCTGAATTTGTATGTTTTCTATCTGACCCAGCAGTTTCTCAAACTTTTTAATTTAACTTGATTCTTCTCCTGGCTGACCTGGTGCTGGCTGACCTCTTTCCTTGGTTGCCTGCATATCTTTCAGGTTCTTTTGTCTTTTTTTCTGTTACCTCCAGGACACTTTAATTTGTTAATCAAAAATTCTATGAATTCAAGTTGTTATAAGGAGAAATAGATTAGGACATCTATTGGAAGACAGAGCAGAACTAACTATGCTTAAGAACTTTGCAGATACATGGAAGAAAAGCATGGTTTTGCAGATGTGAGATTCTCTTATTGTTTCTTTATTAAAGCTGTCAGAAAATAAATGCCACTGCAGATAATCAAAGCAGTTTTGAAAATGTAGGACTTTGTGATTCAATTTTGAAGACACTATTAATGTTTAAATTTTACTGTAGTAATATAGCTAGCTGATTTTACTGAATGATTGGCTGCTTTCTAGAAATATAGGGGAGTTACCTGAAAGCTTTGGGTTCAGAGGGATTGCTCTGTTACATATTTGACCTGAAGTAGCAGGTATGATTCAGTAACCTGTTAATAATTATTGTAAATCTATATGACAACTGTTCTATTTGCTTGTTAATAGGCTAAATTTTTGCCAGACATCACCAGTGACTTAGTTTGTCCTGTGGATGCCAAAGAAGAACTCCTGGATGAATGTGAAAGCATTTGGAAGCAGATGGAAGAGGTATGCAAATCACAACTGACAGTCTAGATTTGTTGTAAACTCTCCTCAGTGTTTTTTTGTTCATCTCCCCATCCTTCACTGCATGCTTACCTCGCCCCCTCCGAAGAAACCACTGCAAGAAAAGATCTTCAGAAAGGCCAAAGGCAGAGAGGGTGGCAGGGGTGAAGAATGCCTTGCAGTGTCCGAATTTGTTTATAGTGTGCTGATATTATGATTTAGTTAACTAGAATGGGAGTGTACGTTAAAACTAGAGAAAAATGAAACAATTTACTTCTGTTCTGGTAGTACCAGCATACTGAGACTTCAGATCCTTCTCTCTTTAACCTCATAGAAGATGGGATTCAACTGCTGTTCACAAGTACTTTGGATTTTAAAGGAGAGAGAGAACAGGAGGAGAAAGAGGCTTAGGAGGATGATGTTAGCATATGCTCATGCAAACTGACAGTTACATCCTCAAGAATAAAATTTCTCTCTCTTGATATATGCTCCAATATGCTAATAATATTTTAGAGCAAGTAATTTTTATTTACAGGAATCCTGGGATAGAAACTTTTAACACTTCTGAGGGAACACTGTGCATCCTATAAGATTCTGCTGGGTCTGATGAAAAGTCATATTCTAAACTACGTTTTGAGAGTCTTAATTGCTACACTCAATTTTCTGTGCTTGAGTTCTGAGTTGTAGATTCAAAGCATTAAAAGTATCAGAAACTGAAGTAAAAATACTTCCAAACTTGAAGTAGAACAAAGTACAGACAACCCACAGTGTAATAATTTTACAGAATTAGATTTTAAAAGACTAATGTGATTTTATTTGTTGTTACATATAAACTTATCTTAATATTGGAAAAGTGACAGGTAATCCTATGTCTAGGTTTCTGAAGTGCTGTAATAAGTTATCAATAGAAGTCTTGTTTGGTGCTATTTCAGAGAATGTGAACTTTCTTTGGAATTTTCAGGTTAGAAGGGAAGTTAGAATGTTTATCATTATTAATTTAATTGAAAATCTTTGATATCTTGTTCCGAGCATCCCCAAAACAATACAGGAAGTGATAATGTGTGTTATTTTTGGAAGTTGATAAAAACAGTAGGATTTTTATTACTTTGTTGCATCCTGGATGCACACATGTTTCAGCAAAAAAATTAAACAACTACTAGTCACTGAATTAGCTCCTAGGTAATATGGTTTATGATGCAATGTTCCAACGATTGTTTGTCAGCATTAGCAGTTTTTATTGGAGAAATCGTGTATTGTATTTTGGTTCCGAAGTACTTCTTCGTAGTTTTACTGCTTAGCAGAATACATCCTGTCCTGTCATGGGGCAGGTTAAATTGCTGACAGTTGTAAAACACAAAAGAGTTTAAAAGCCATCT